ATATTCTTTGATCAGATTGAACCTATATAAGAACAATCTTCATAGCACTGAATCATCAGAGCAGGACTGAATGTTTAACAATGAAAATAACCCTATAAGTTCTCAATGAACAGTTATATCTTTCAATTACCTCAATGGTAAGATGTCTGAATACACCAATGAGTGGCATAGTTTCGGTTCATTGGGGAGACGTTAGTTCTGTCAAGGCTTGAGATGCGCCTTGCTGATGAGTAATTACAATAATCTGACATGAGCTCATCTCATTTAATTCTATCACCCAACACTTCGTGATTAAAAACATATTTGTGTTTGTGCGGTATGGCAGTGAACTAAAGGTTTGGACAAATATTCAACTGAGATTTCTATATGTCGTTGATTCTTTCAAGCCAAAAGCCGTTTTTTTTCCGTAGACTATTTGAAGTCACTTAGTTGCTTTTCTTGTCAGCAACCAATTTATTCTGATGTCGAAAGCTTCAGAGGACGAAAAATGGAATTTTCCAAGCATATGATAGTGTTCATCATTATCGATCAACCTATCGTGAGAAGTTACAGTATTTAGATAGAAAAGAGATGTTCACCAAGGATCTAGTTTTAAATTTATGCAGGGTAGACACTACAATAAGGATTGTATAACCTGAACGTTGTTAATAAGCAAGACAAGAAGGTTGTTAAAGTCTTGATTCTGGGGGCAATTTTAACTGAGTGAACTATCCAACAGGATTCATCATTTTACTTCACAGAACACAATTAATACAAGAGTCGTTCAACCCTGGAAAATTGAAGTATGTGTTTAGCATTTTGTGCTCAACATTAACCGTTTTCTATGAAACAAGTTCAGAATATGGTCAGTCAACTTAATAAAGCACCACCAGTGACCAATCCGTATTCATTGTCAGTTCACACAGCGTTTAGTCACCCTTGTATAGCCCAGTGGTGAGAATGGCTGTCGTCAACGCATGACTTTTAAAGTCACCCTAGCAACAACTGAAATAATCAACCACACTTCTATATTTTATGAAAATATACTTATTCACCGAAATGAAGAGACCCACTTGGTTAGTTCTATTGTTGATCGGGTGGCCTTTGAAGTCGCCCGTCGTCAGCACTGTGTAATTTGGGTCCATATTTGCATAGGAACGAAATTTTCAACACAGTTGCAGATAAGTTTTGCTGATGGGTCCCGACACTTGTAAAACTTATGTCCAAGGTTTTATTCAAACTAACTTCGACAGCTAACTCACTGTTAGATGGTTTTTTAGACTGTTTACTGTGAATGTCAAATTTCGTCTTCTCGAAAAATAGAGTAGGAATAACAGATGGGTTAAATTAGAAATATATACTTCGATTCTATTGAGAGTAAAGGTCTCAGAGAATGCCAATTTTGTTCGAATTTTAGTATATATATTTTTACATCTTTATCAAAAGAGACAAATTTTGCCAGGAAGTATAGGTAAGTATGAATATATGTTAACTATCAGGAATCTCTTAGGTGGTTCAGATCTTTGATAAAATGTGGTTTGCTTAAAATCTGCAAATGTGTTGTGTTTGTGCTTTCTAGTGGCTAGAAAGACACTTTTCTAGCTGGTTATTAGCATTTAAGATCGAACATAGTCCATCTTAGTAACATGTCAGACTTGACTCACAGACTTCAAACGACTTACACAACTTGGCATTTACGTCGATTAGTTTCTGGATAGAAATCTACTTATTTTCTTAAATATCTAGTGCTTGTATAGTTTTCTATCAGTCTGCCTTTTTAGTATAACTTTGCCAGCATAATCCTGCTGTCTGTCTGGAACTGTGATCACTAAACTTGGAGATTAACTATTGACACTAATTGTTTGTAGTCAGTAATAAAATTTTCCACACAAACGGAACATATGTACTAAGTGTTTGTTCTATAAACACTGAAGAAATAACCAGTCTTTTTCTTCATCTCCGTCACAACTATCGAACTAACCTGCTCTAAGTGAGGTTATTCATTCCTGAATGCACAGGAGTGGTTGATTCTTTTACTGAATCCCTCCTCTAAGTAGGAATTATAGTCTACGTTTATGCGAATTTTTGCACGTCGATAATCTGACCGATCATTATTGACTACTCTCACCTGTATATTCAACCGCCTATCCCTAGATAGTGTTGCCTAAACTAGATAACTGAATAATTAGGTTGATACGATTGCATAATACCCAGATGTTTTGCAATTACATCTGCCATTTTGGATGTAAAACTAACCACAGATGTTTTGGGCATCCTAAATGAGGTTTCGAATTTTGTATGTAAGTACCGTAGATCATTTGAATTTCATCCTATCTGCCTCATTACTACTCCACAGTATCCCTCTTTTTTTTAAGAAGCGGTAGAAAATACAAAGTGATATTCGCAGGATAGTTACTATGACATAATTACAGACCATAAATTCTATGCAAAATGTTTTAACGTTAACAATACTGCACCACCGTTTTCTATGTCAGAGCGACAAACCAACCTAAAACCCCACATAGAAGTGCATCAGTTTAATTTGCTGCATTTCACTGTGGCACGAAAAGAAAGGGAGATAGAAAATAAGTGACACTGAAGTAATCAAAGGTGCATCAGGTAGGCAATAACGAATGCGTGAATGTAATTGAAAACGGTAAACACTTCGAAAATGATAGTGGGTGTCTACCTCTGGGTCACTGTGGTTAATTTCTAGCCTTATTAGCACCAATCCGTGACCACTGGTTCCCATCGTCTCCGGGATTCCATTCAGGCAGACCACTTCAGATATTTATTGGTCATCATAAGAAGTGATAGTTGTCTATACTCATATATATATATATATATATGTATATATATATATATATATATATATATATATATATATATATATATATATATATATATATATATATATATATAGTAACCAGACAAACGTGAAACTTTGCTTGGTGCCGAAGCTCTCGGGTGTACTAAAAGTTGAGGCCATCAATATAAAGTCTAAAATTCAGTATATATGAACTTCAGATTATCATCCAATAAATAATACTGTTATCGGTCGTACCATATCAAACATCTGAGCTAAAATGGACCTCATGATTCCATGGGGTAACGGTTGATTATTTAAGTCATTTCTGATTTTGTATTTGATTTTTCCTTTATTTAGCCCAAAGTCATCTTTAAAAGGATGTCGAATCCAATCGGCAAAACTAACGACCGGTGGATTAATTTAGATAATTAAGTCAATAACTTTAAAAACGAAGAATTATTAACCAGAGCTGTTTGACCGTTGTTTTCTTGCTTTAAGCTTATTATTTATTGAACTGGTCTAGTTATTGATCTGTTGTCACTTTATACCCAAAACGTCCATCATGTTAGAAAAAGGCATACACACGTACACGCATGCATAAGTGACTAACTCTTCACCTCTCTTGGCTAAACGGGAACAAACAGCTCTTGAGCGAGACAGCCCAAAAGTTAAGTAAAGGATAAGCTTTTTTGACCTAATGAGAAACAGGAAACAATAAAAAGAGTTGAGGTCTGTTTGCTTCTGAAAATGTGAAGTTTCAACTATTCGTAGCATTTTCTTCCGATCAGCACACACACATATCCACGTGCATAAAAGCCTGAAGTTACACACAATCAATTCATCCCTGAGAATTTACCAACAGTGACCGTAGTTTAATCCCTTTATGTTAATCCAAAGTTACGAAGATGCAGAAACCTCTAATCAGAATTTTATGATAATTTTTTCTAGTCATCCTTAAAAGAGATAAGTATTGAATGCTTAAGTCGCCTATTTGTTCATAAAATGACTTATATTTGGGTAATGTTATGAGAGCGAAGAGAAGACTCAAAGTAGTTAGTTGTAATACAGTCTTACAAAACTTTTATATTCCAGTCTACAAGTGAACTCTTGACTGAGTAGTGCCATTTGCAATATTTTGGGGAAGTAATCCCGGTAGGGGTATTCCTCACCCTGGCATTATTTAAGGTTGAACTTTGAGGGCCAGTCTATCTATCATATTCAGTGAGATTTCAAACATCGTCAGCCCAAAGATCAGTTCTACCGTTATCCATTGCTACTGATATATTCCACCATTATTTCAATTTAGTTAGATGTTTATTTTTATCGAAATTAATATCATATAAATAATGTTGATGCGTTAGGGTGGAGTGACTTTTAATTATTATTCTGGAAACCAAACACTGAAGTACCCTTCAGAAAAAAATATACAGTGAAGGAGTAAAAAAAAACTTAGAATGACAAGTATGTCTGAGATTAAAGGAGGTGATTTCGGTATGGAATATAGGAGAGTGTCTTAAGTTGTTTCACATTGATGCTTATGAAATGACTACTGAGATTCAGTAGAAGACACTGAGTATTGGTGAGATTTGAATCATATCTACTTCGGTGTCTGTCCCGTAGAATATCGTGCGTACACTAATTAGTTCAGAATTCCTCGAAACATTTGGCCTTTGAAAAATAGAAACATACTATTTTTTTAGGTGGAATTTATATCCATCCACCAAATAAGCAAAAGTCACGCACATGAATCTCTGAGTTCTACGTTTCATCAGCGTAGATATCAATTTTTACTGGGTTGACTGACAATTACATGAAAGGTCTTTAGTCCTTTTGGTCCTGATCGTGTCACTTAATAATCTATCATTAGATAGAGTGCTCTTTTAACTATTTCTGCCGAATGGTGGTCAAGAGCTTTGAGAATGCTCACTTTCAAAGTTTTTGTTGGACACAAAAATTAAAGCAGCACACCATTTAAAAGGCTTCATTCTGTTGTCAGGATTTAGCACAGAACATTTTAGTCTATGAAAAGGTGATATTTAGCATTCAAAATGTATCCGCCAATAAGCAGTGAAACATAAAGCTGGTTCTTTGGTTCAAAGTAAGTCTCCATTTTCCAGCCTTATTTTCAGTCTAAATAAATTAAGCCGTACATTTATTCACTTGTGTTAATAGTAAATATATACATATATTTAAGCTGCCATGAGTGACTCACCTGTTCCATATTCTTGTACCAGCTAAACGAGCATGTGCAGGCTGTGGAACACCAATAAAATTTGACAGCATTAATGAGCGAGTTTCTCTGGCTCCATTCAACATGGACAAATCGTTCGATGATTGATTGTCTTCCTCAGAATCGAAATCATTTGAAACCAAACCAAAATATGTCCTATCCATGAAGGAAATTCTTTTCTCTTGTAACCATGAAGTGTTCAATGCCCGACGGGCTGGTGCAATCCAAGGATTGATGAGAAGATTTGCCAAGAGTTGATCGTAAGGTGCCCAATAGTCGATGACCTTTGTGTCTAAATCATCTCTTGTCTGTAAAATAAAGTTAAAATATGCATGTTTTGACTGATTGTTACATTCTTAGGGATGCTTATATACTGGAAGTCGTATGAAGACCAATTGTGAAGACGTATGTTTATAGATATGGGCGCATGTTACGTAATTGTTATTTATCATGCAGGAAGAAGTTATCGAAAATTGATTCTACAACTGAGCGCCGTTGAAAACTACACCGGAAGTGATGCCTATTTGGGGACTACTACTATCGTAACAAATTGATTGAATTAAGATCAGAAGACCTAGTTGGACGGCCAGTGTGAATACAATGAACGGACAGCTATGCACCACTAATTCATATGGCAGTCCAGAACAATGCTTGGCGACTGAAGTAGAATAAAGATTTGATCAGCAGCGGCATCTAGTAGCTGAGTTGGTAGAGCCCTCGGCCGTTAACCTAGAGGTCATTGGCTTGAATCGTGCCGCTACCCAGATTTTCATCTTACCACTAGTCGTCAGCCAGTAGAAAAAATACAATCCATTCGTATCACGGCTGCCTCAGACTGTTAAACTGATTAAATTAAAAAAAATTGATTTTGAAATAGTGGGGAATATTTGTAGCTCAGTTGGAAGGTCTTGGTTGTATTGTGTTCTCTAAGCTGAGTTGTTTAACCGTGAAGCTTTCATCGTTTTTCTAGACGACATCATCAGCAATAAATTCAAAATGAAGTGAGCTGTCTGTGTCTCTCTATGAGTGATCTACTAGCTTGCACATACATCATCAACATCATCGACAGAAATCAACAAACGCATCATCTTACTGTACATAAAAGATGTATCGGAAATCATGACAAGATTACTGAGACCACTTGGAATTGGTGTGGCTCATAAAACAATAAATTCCCTCCAAACCCCACCCTATTATACAGAACAAAGGATGCAACAACCAGATAAGACAACCCGAATATCATTTACAAAATCAACTGCTTTAACTGTAGTCAATACTACATTGAACGAAGTGATCGCCTTCTTCACCTTCGTCTGCATGAACACCAATTGGCTACTAAACGTCACACACGACATTTCATCACTCATTTTAATACACCTGAATAACTATGGGTATGAATTCAATCTCGACAATGGAGAAATTTTGGATGGAGGAAACACAAAGAATATCCGAGAATTCTTAGGAGCTTAGCATTCAGGTCAGTCAGCAATCAACAGATGTATAGACATAGACCAAACCTATCAATTAATAAAAAAATATGACAAACGAAAGAGAGGTCAGAGGTCATGCAGAGGAATAGCCAACAAGAAAATCTATACAGTCAGTGACACAACATTCAAAGAAAACAACCAATCACAAACCAGTTCTTTCGGACAAGCTACTAAGTCACTCGCGGAGAGATGCTGACAGCTCATTTCATACTGAAGTTAGTGCTGATGATGTCATCTAGAAAGACGATGAAATCTTCAGAGTTAAACAACCCAGCTTAGAGAACACAATACAGCCAAAAATATAGTCCCCAACCTCTATTAAAAAAATTGAGGTCGAATTATGTGTGATAGCATTGGGGTTTCTGGTTATGGAAAAACTCATATATTGGTGACTGACAGTTGCTTATTCAGCTTATTACCCTACAGAAAGCACAGTCATGAGAAGTCTGCTTTCAATGAATTATAACTACTTCAAAAGGAGCAATCACATTATTTTGATGTCTGACAATGACTTTTAAGAGTTCTGCATACTATTGATAGTGTCTTGCTATGAAATCAGACATTAGTCAATAGAATAGCTTTGGGTTACTTGAAAGTCACTATCCTTGAGAACGGTCATTGCTTTACTCCATTAACATATAAAAGACTTCCAGTGAATTTTCGGCCTTTATTTCCACAAATCTTCCCTTGAAACTGTCAAATATTAGTTTATAAAATTGTGCATATAAGTGCAAATTTGGATTGTTTCCTATTTAGCTTGACCGGTAGTAGTAGAAAGCCATTGTAACTACCTGGCACCTGGTGCTGAACACTGAGTGAAGTCTGGTGAATGGCATGATACTGTAATCCATTCTCTGTCGTGGTTAGCTGTTGAGAGTCAACCGCCAGGATTACATGCTCTTACAAAGTTTTTCACTTGTTGATACTCATTATCAAGACGCATCTGAAACCACGAAAACACTGCTGTTTCCTCAGTGAACCGAACCTACATCACTCAATACTAAAGTAAAGACTGTACGATTTAGCTATTTGTGCTGTCCAAACTAGTGTCCGAATAGTTCCAGATAACCGTCACTGAGAAGCACTAAGAAGCATAAAGCCCCTATGCATTACTTCTTGTTAACAAAGTCTCAATATCTAACACAGTTATAGTCTTTTTCGCACTTACCTTTCTCAAATAATCATCAACTGTGTCCAAATACGGCAGCCAATTGGTACGTTCCAAGTTGTTCCATGTTTCTTGTTCAATTGTTGGTATTTGAGCATTCAAGTTATTTAATGTCCAAGCACGATTCGAATTATTCTTCTCCTGCTCACTAATCCCAATCGGGTCCTCATAAAACAAATTATTAGAATTGTAGTGATAATTGTAATTGATAGCATTTTCATTATTGTTATTATTATTGGCAATGCTGTTGACGTTTGCTTGACTTAACCAGCTGATAAGCTTTTTTGCAATGTGCAACATATACCTGGACAGTTGCTTACTATGCTCTTCATAATTTTTACCACAGTCTGAGATCTGGCTAGTTCCTTTCTGTATCTGAATAGTTGAGAGAGATTACAACAAAAGAAATTGCGATAACCAGCTTATAAAACACTGATCCGAAAATTACGCATACGAAGTAAACGCTGAAAGTCAATAAGGCTTATTGAATAAGTTACTTGACTTTCGGTCAATGAATCATACAATGCAATGCCTATCCATTATTCTACGAGTTGGCAGTTAATTACATGTCAATCTCCTTATGTCGAATCACTCGATAATATGTTTAAAATCGATAACTGATCAAGTGTGACCACTTGAAGTTCTTTCAATTATTCAATTGGCTCACAAAAATGTAAGCGAGTTATAGAAGGAGAAAAAGCTGTGACCACTTTTAGTTATTCAGTAACAACGACAGTGTACAGCAATCTCAAGTGACTCATTGAGTTGAAAAAGGTGCAGTGTTTGATTTGTCGTTTAAAATAAGATTGAAGTATAGTGATATCATTCGAAAGTCAGAGGCATTACGGCATGAGTTTCGTCTCAGTCCGATATTCTTCAATCAATATCTTATCAACCCGATAACAGTTCCCGTTATTATCATAGCCTTTATTATTCATTATACCTATAAAACATGAAAATTAGTGCATACGAACTTTTAAAATTATTTAAGACATTGTTTTTGAATCCGAGAAACAAATTTTTCAGCAAAGGAAGCTAAATTTAATTTAGAGAACAGCCTAAATCCACAACTTGAAAACTAGTCATTCGGATTTATCACAGATGAAAAAAATTTTTGCTTCACTTATTCATACTGAATATAGATTAAAATTTTAAGGAATCACTGAGCAGTAAAAGAATACTCAACTGAAAGAAATAGGCTAGTTTTTCGAAAGATTTTACCAATGAACTATCGCTTCAATGCCAATATACAACGAACTTTCAGCTTTAGTTGTATATAGAAAAAATAATATTCATGATATATCTTGATAGATTAAGAAACGTTTTGTAGCATACTTTAAACAGTGTCTCTTTATTGTAAGAAATGCAAAGTGGTTTCAGCACATACAGCCATGCATAAATTGTGTGTATACCACTGAGGCATATTCGAATCACAGATTGGTTAGTGCAATGGAAGACGCATATGGTTGGATGTAAAAGAGATGAAGCATTTTAAGCCAGACTTTAAAAAGCATACTAGGTTAACAGATGTAAGGATGACTAGTGTTTCATTTGTCAATTTTGCTCCGTCCGGAAATTAGCTTAGATCACTAAGTTAATGCGAAAAATCACTCTGAATTGTAACTGACCTATATACTTTTATCGTTCTACAGAAGTATATTTTGTCAGTCTCTCTCTAGACGTTTACTTTTTTCTCAGCTAGGAATTATACATAGTCCTGTAATCGTTCAGGCGCGTTCATCTAGCATACAGTATTGATAAAAGCAATTTATTTGACCATGCTTGGACAGTTATTGCTTCCTGGACAAATATTGTATAACAGCCTGAATTAGTTTTTTCACATCTCGATACCATGAATATGGGTAACTTTTAAATGTAGAAGTTAGAAGATAACATATGTTGAAACCTAGTTGAGTAGAATACAAATACAATTCTTGACTTCCCAGTGAAGTTGTTAAACATCAGTCAAATGTGCCTTCGAAGATAACCATCAAATAAAAGTTACGGAAACTGATGAAACCGGTCCATTGTAGTTGACACAAGTTTAACTGCTGTACACTAAATTTTGTGTTATGAAGGAAATTTTGAACACCTTGAAATATCTTGCTGTGATACTAGAAAAGCAGAAGGCTTTTTGATTCGATGCACCATTTGGATATAGATAGTGAAGAATAACGACGTTTGCAGAAAAAAATTTAACTCATAGTTATTTATACTGTGGTGGCACAAGATGAAGTAAAAACCTATGTCACCGCAGGATTCGAACCTAAACCCTCTGGGTTACTGGTACGTAGATCTACCAGTTCTTTTACGCCACCAAGCTGTTAACCAGTTTTGAACTACATTTCAATCACCAAGGGTTTCTTCTCGTTCTCACGTAAATCACTGATATGTCACTCTTCGTAGTGACACTGCCTGCCCACTCAAGCTTTCGAGTCGTCATCGCAGAAGGAAACGTTGTATTGGATGTCAACTCGAATATTTGAGACATTTTGGGTTTAGCTAGACTATGACTATCACAGACAGTCTAATTAACACAATTCATAAGGTTTACGTTTATTAGATGAGGTGGGTAAGTGAAAGTGACCTATGCACTGATTAAAGACTGGAAAGCAACAAAGTTCACGTCGTCTGATGCTGAGTGATGGTCAAATTCTATAGAATTCTATCATGGGGATATCAGTCCTCTTGCTGATGACTGCCCACAAGCACAAAATCGAAGTTTAAGGCTTGCTGACGACTGCTTCCAACCAACTAACATCCGTCAGAGTTGACCTCTATAGGTTTTGCACTGAAATATTTTATTTAATGAACCAAATTTGTTTGGAATGAGCCTAAATACTCAGCTTTTAAACAAGTATCAGCTAACTGTCTTATGATTGTGGCATGAAAAGAACTATGCAAGTTTATGATCTTGAAGGCAACATCTTCACATCTTTAGGGTTTCCTCAATTCACTTATCAGTCCAGTGTGTATAAATATCTATTCCACAAGTGAATACAAGCTCTGATAATGATTGAAGGTGAAAAGAAATTCGGACCGCTACCGGATTCGGACTAGTAACACCGAGTTTCCGCCCCAGTGCTCTATCAACTGAGCTACTAGGTCATTCAATCAACCCTAAGTATCAGTACTAGTTTGCTTAACCACAGCTATCCCACTCAGATAATCAAAAAGATAATCGATATGATACTTTCCCTCTATAATTCAGATTTGGATTGGGACTAGAAGTCCTAACTAGGCAGCCAGTGCGAATACGAGCGAACAGTAGTAACGCATCAGTAATCCATATGGTAGTCAGGCAAAACCCATAGTGATTAAAGTGAAATAAATCTGATCGGCGGTTGGACCTCGTAGCTCAGTTGTAGACCAAGAGACTGAAACCTCGGTGATTGCTGGTTCCAATCTGGCCGCCGTTTAGGTTTTCATTTCGCCTTCAATCATCACCCAGTATCAATACTAGTCCACACAACCACTGCTTTCTCAGATAGTGAAAAAAATAAATACTCGTGTAAGTAGTAAAACAATCGGTCATTCTGTCTAGTAAATTCATGGAAATTAAGAGGAAACACAAGCCACGATCGTCACATAATGTATGGAACATAAAGTAAATATGTATCTACAATGGGTGATAGGACTGAAAAAGAACTATGCGTTTTTTGCATCAGTTCCTCAGTTTACCTGGTGGACAATTCAATAAGTAACGTAGCGACCACTGGTTTGAAACTTTATTTTACTCAGGTCACCCATCAACTTCAGTTATTTGTCCAAAGTGGGTAAGTATTATGCAGATCGTCTTCGATAACGTTGTTCATTTTCCAGAAAATTTCAGTACAGCTATCATTCTGCGAAAAATAACTAACTAAAATTCTAAGTGAGAGGTTTTACTTGGTAAAGGTTTTGATTATTACAGTACAATAAAGAATTCAGTCCTGGTAACTACTGTGTCATATCAGTACGTATTTATTCATGATTAGTGGAATTCACAGGGGAGAAACTGTCATATAAGCATCTAACATGGTAGCAATTGTAACCAAGGTTGAACTGAGTCCTTACGGATTCCATGCTGGTGGGATATTGCTTTAAGTTAGCCATTATATTTTTTCCATGGGTTACGTGAAACTTCAAACTTTGTCTACAATATTGCGGCTGTTGAATTTAACAATAGTGTATCAACTCTTTTATTATGGTACTCAGTTTATCTAAACAAATTTTTATGATAATTATTTGACTTTGAAGCAGTGAGCTTATGAAGGCAAATCAGTAAATTTTTCAGTGTTTTTTATGCCCATGAAACTGATGATAAATTTATTGCCTACTGAAAACTTCTTAATGATAACAACTATATACACTTTTTCATACTAATAAAACAAAATCATTGCGCGAAATTTGAACAGACTTTCACAAGTTCAGTTCTAATGCAAAAAATAAAAATAAATATTTAAATACATGACGATAATATTTATATTCCATGAGAATTCTATATTTTGTGATAGTTTTGTTTAAGCTTGAAAGACATGGAACATATTCTAGGTCAACGCTCCTTTTTGCTACAAACCATTACTTCTGTATAAATTTTCTGTTTAAAAGAACAACGCAAACTTTTTCAAAACATTATAAAAGCTTTCCAAAGGGTGGCTGGAGTCTGCTTCCCAAGTGTCCTTAAAAATAAATTAGATTTTCTATTTGAAAAGATAAACTATCTGTTTATTGAGTGAAGGGAAGAAAAATTTCCGTTAAGTTCTCGAGTTAAACATTAAATGTGAGTGTCATAATCACTTAGGAAACAATATCATATTGTTACAGTTTTATTGTGAATGCAGCATTCATTAAATTCTTTTTCAGTTTCGTCCTTTACGTTGTTGTATATAATATTAGGCGTATAAGGTTGTATTCATCAGCAACTGACACTTAGACGACCGTCGATAACCCACTAGGACTGTACATCTGTTTCGTCTTTGTATGGAACTTCCCAGTAGTGTGCACCAATACCGTCAGTTTTCTTGGTGAGCACCTTACCATTAAGTCACTGAGTCGTAGTTCAGCGGTCCACAGTTTCTAGCGTCTGTCAATTTGTGATGTTGTACGACTATCTAGCAAAGTCTGCAGTTAGCAGTAGCTCGACTTCCTAGTGACTGACACCACACGTTACGGTTTCTCATAAAAACTTCTTGGTATCCACCTCAAATGATTTCACGATAAACATTATACAATGACGTAGTTTGAAGTATATGAGTGTACTTAATTAACCGTCTGGTGTCCGTATTACAGGAATGATGTGTGTTTTTATACACCAATAAAAATCTACAAATCAATGATAGCCCTGTTGATTGAACATTTTTTGTATTGGACGTAACTGACCATCAACCAGTGCT